GTGTGTATTAGTATATGAGTATCTGTGTATGTGTATCAGTGTGTGTCAAAGTCTCAGGGCCAATGGAAATGTTTCCTTCCAAGCCCAAGTCGATGCTGTTGGAAGAGCCGATCCCTGTCCTGCGTCATGCAGCATCTTCCCGGTGTGCAGCATCTGTGGCTAGGGGCCGAGGGGGAGGCTGGCGCTGAAGGACTGAGCCGCGACACAGACGGTGGGAGCCCCTCAGCTCTATAAAGGGAACTGAGGAAACTCTTGAGAGCTGGGATCTGGGCCAGCCTCCCTTGGCTCCTGCCTTGGAGCTCAGGGACGGCCGTGGTGGGGGCGGGCGGGCGTGTGCCGAAACCTGCTGTTCCCACCCTCACTCCAAGGGAGTTTGTTAAACTTGCATGAGAGCTAAAGCGATGACAAATCGCTCCCTGGCGCGCCGTGCGGCAGGCTGCTAGCCCTTTACAATGCATTTCTACCTGCCTTTCACTAGCACGGGCCTTGCTGGCCTTTAAACTCCCCTCCCACCGGGCAGTAACCCTGCCTGGGCTGAGGGATGCTCTCCTGCCTGTGAAGAGTGCTTGGGGTCTCCACTCTGACAGCACCCAGCACCGCGGCCTGCTGACCCACACGAAGACTGGTTCCTAAGGGCGCCCCTATTGGTACACGCAGGGATTGCGCCATTCCCAGTTCGGATGGGGAAGTGAACCGGGGGGGCTCCATCCAGGGAGGTGGCCTGTAGTAGCACCGCTCTCTCCCAAGCTAACGAAGGGTTGGCAAGAGTCTAAGACCACAGGACTGGTATCGAGGGAGAAGAAGGTGAGAAGACACCACTCAACGTCAAAACTTGGGTGTGTGGGTCTCCGTGTGTGTTGGATTTGGATCCCTTTCCAAGGGGTGTGTATGTGACTGTGTGTGTCTGCTGGATTTGGATCCCTTGTGTTTGTGACTCGTGTGTGTGTGTTAGATTTGGATCTATTTCCAAGGTGTGCGTGTGTGACTCTCTGTAGGTGTTCGTGTGTGTGGCCGTGTGTGTGTCTGCATGTGTTGGATTTGGATCCCATTCCATGGTGCGTGTGTGTGTGTGTGTGTCCATGTATGTGTGAGTCCATGTGTGCATGGGAGCCAATGCGTTGGTGAGTGACTCCGTGTGTCTGAGGCTGACAGGCCGTAGGTGTGAATCCATGTGTGCCGGCTTTGGATTCCCGTCCATGGGTGTGCGTGCGACCCCGGCGGGGTGGATCTGTGTGTGTGTGGTATTTGTTTTGCACCCTGTGGTTTCTTGAAGATGCTTGGGCAGGAAGTTAGCTTGGAGGCAGCAGAACTCACTTCCTGCCGGGTGCCGATCCCCAGCCCTGACAGCGAACAGGAGTGCAACGGTGCAACGCGTTTTACGTCAGGCCTGGGCCTCGGCAGCTTCCTCTCTTGGGTGCTGCTTCCGCTGCTGAGCCGCCCGGCCGGGGGCTCCCCACACCCTGGGGCTGAGCTTTCAGGGCTTCGTTCCCAGGCCACAGACTCTCTCTGGACTGATTTCTCGTTTGGATCCAGCCCAAGCGAAGATTTCGGCAGCCAGAGGTTGATGCTGTAGAGGCGACTATGGGGTGGATTTGAGGAAGAGACACCTCCCCGGGGCCGCTCGGTGAATGGCAGACATCAAAGGGGCCGTGGGCTGAGGATTTCCTCACCGGCCCGCCCAGCCCCCATGTGGGCCAGGTGGTCCCAGCGGGAAGGGCTGGGGCTTGTGCGTTAGAGCCTGGAAGCCCCTGGGCTGGTCCAACCATCCCCATGTCTCTCGCCATGAAAGCCCGGCAGAAGGTGAAACGCAAAGGAGCAGCCAAGGACCGGGTCTTTGGGTGTGACCTGCTGGAGCACCTCCAACACTCTGGCCAGGAAGGTAAGGGCCGTTTGCTCCTCCGGTGGCTGACCTTCCATGGGGCGGCAGCAGGGAATGGGCCAGGAGACACCTCTCTGGGGGCTGACCCATTGCTCGGCAGGGACCCTCCCGGAGCCCCAGTCCTGCTGGGCTGGTGTCTCCAGCACAGCGCCATCCTCGCCGCCAGCAGTGGGGCTGGGCAGGTGCAGCAGCAGCTTTCTGTGAACATCCGCTTGGCTCTGCACTGAGCCTCTCTGGGCGTGTTCCTGAGCCTCCCGCTTCGCTGCCGGAGAGCAGCCTGGGCAGAGGGAACAGGAGCCGTCCAGTGCAGCTTTGAGCCAGTATTGCAGAATCCTGGTCTCACTTAGCATCTCAATCAAGGCTGCACCGGGTGTTGGGCCGGCCCTGAGCCGTCACAGGGCCCCGTCGTGCCGGGTGTTGGGCTGGCCCTGAGCCGTCACAGGGCCCCGTCGTGCCGGGTGTTGGGCTGGCCCTGAGCCGTCACAGCCCCGTCGTGCCGGGTGTTGGGCCGGCCCTGAGCTGTCACAGGCCCCTGTCGTGCCGGGTGTTGGGCCGGCCCTGAGCCGTCACAGGGCTCCGTCATGCCGGGTATGGGGCCAGAGCAGTCACAGGGCCCCGTTGTGCCGGGTATGGGGCCAGCCCTGAGCCGTCACAGGGCCCCGTCGTGCCGGGTATGGGGCCAGAGCAGTCACAGGACCCCGTTGTGCCGGGTATGGGGCCAGCCCTGAACCGTCACAGGGCCCCGTCGTGCCGGGTGTTGGTCTGGCCCTGAGCTGTCAGTACAAGCTAGCTTGGCATGCAGAATTGCAGCATTCCCACAATCCCACTGGAAACTCGGGTCCCCGAATCAGGCTTCTGCAGTCAGGGAACAGACACATCTCACGGGCCGTGTCTCCAAGCAAAGCATCCCAGCCCAGGGGGACCCCTGCCCTCCCTAGGGGCTTCAGAGCTTGGGGCCTGTTGGCAGGGGCAGGGAGGCTGGCATGCTCTGTGGGGTAACCACAGGGTTCCAGTGCCCAGGGAGCCCCTGCCTCGGGCTGGAGTCCAAAGGTAAAACAGACAGAACCTAGGCTGCTGCTTTCAGATCCAGTGATGTGGCCAGTGCCAGGGCTGGAGGCTGGGCCTGGCATGGGCCACATGGCTCCCCTTCCCCTGTTAGAGCTGGAGGGGTGAGGGGCAGAGTCCTCAGGGAGCTGGCACCCCACAGGGATAGAGCCCTCCCTGCAGTGCCCCGGGCACCCCACGGGGATAGGGCCCTCCCTGCAGTGCCCCTGGCACCCACGGGGATAGAGCCCTCACTGCAGTGCCCCTGGCACCCCCACGGGGATAGAGCCCTCCCTGCAGTGCCCCTGGCACCCCCACGGGGATAGAGACCCACTGCAGTGCCCCTGGCACCCAAGGGGATAGAGCCCTCCCTGCAGTGCCCCTGGCATCCCCACGGGATAGAGCCCTCCCTACAGTGCCCCTGGCATCCCCGCGGGATAGAGCCCTCCCTACAGTGCCCCTGGCACCCACGGGGACGGAGCCCTCCCTGCAGTGCCCCTGGCACTCCACGGGAATAGAGCCCTCCCTGCAGTGCCCCTGGCACCCACGGGGATAGAGCCCTCCCTGCAGTGCCCCTGGCACCCCCACGGGGATAGAGCCCTCCCTGCAGTGCCCCGGCACCCCATGGGGATAGAGCCCTCCCTGCAGTCCCCCTGACACCCCACGGGGATAGAGCCCTCCCTGCAGTGCCCCTGGCACCCACGGGGATAGAGCCCTCCCTGCAGTGCCACTGGCACCCCACGGGAATAGAGCCCTCCCTGCAGCGCCCCTCGCACCCCACGGGGATAGAGCCCTCCCTGCAGTGCCCCTGGCACCCCATGGGAATAGAGCCCTCCCTGCAGTGCCCCTGGCACCCATGGGGATAGAGCCCTCACTGCAGTGCCCCTGACATCCAAGGGGATAGAGCCCTCCCTGCAGTGCCCCTGGCACCCCCACGGGGATAGAGCCCTCCCTACAGTGCCCCTGGCGCCCACAGGGATAGAGCCCTCACTGCAGTGCCCCTGGCACCCCCACGGGGATAGAACCCTCCCTGCAGTGCCACTGGCACCCCCACGGGAATGGAGCCCTCCCTGCAGTGCCCCTGGGACCCCACGGGGACGGAGCCCTCCCTGCAATGCCCCTGGCACCCCACGGGAATACAGCCCTCCCTGCAGTGCCACTGGCACCCCCACAGGAATAGAGCCCTCCCTGCAGTGTCCCTGGCACCCCACGGGGACGGAGCCCTCTCTGCAGTGCCCCTGGCACCCCACGGGGATGGAGCCCTCCCTGCAGTGCCCCTGGCACCCCCATGGGGATAGAGCCCTCCCTGCAGTGCCCCTGGCACTCACGGGATAGAGCCCGCCCTACAGTGCCCGTGGCACCCCCACGGGGATAGAGCCCTCCCTGCAGTGCCCCTGGCACCCCACGGGGACGGAGCGCTCCCTGCAGTGCCCCTGGCATCCATGGGGATAGAGCCCTCCCTGCAGTGCCCCTGGCACCCCCACGGGGATAGAGCCCTCCCTGCAGTGTCCTTGCCCCACCCCCTGGTTCTCAGGGTCGGTTCTGGCAGAGGTGGCACCAGAGTGGGGATGGGGAGGAGGCCCACACGTTACACACAGGAAGTTACTCTGTGTAGCGGGTGCCAGGCCCTGCCACTGGGCAGAACAGGCAGCTCGATGCACAGCAAGAGGGGGGTGGAGGCGTGAATCATGCTGATTGTTTTGCAGTTGCTGGGCTCTTGCTGACAAGGGCACTTGCATCACTGCAGATTGAGCAACAGCGGGTGCTGCCGAAGGAAATGCAAGCAAGGCCCTAGTGGAAGTGCTTAGTAAACACGCTGAGGGACCCAGGGCTACCACAGGGAGTGCCCTACAGGGCCCTGTCCCACACCCGAGAGCAACACCCACAGGTGTTCATGAGACGTGGAGCAGACTGGCGTCACCCAATGCTGAGCTGCAGCTGGTCGAGTGGTAGGTATCCCAACATGCATTGCTTTGGCCTGGCTGCTTCGAGCTGACTAGAGCATTGCATGCTGGGATGTCTTGTCACCAGCAGCCACACCTGTGCTAGAACCATGCTAACTTCCAGTTATGTCCCAGTGCCTCTTGCCTGAGGAAGTCAGACCCATTTAAAAGGGGGCGATTAGGGCTATGTCCATTTTACAGATGGGGAAGCTGAGGCACGGGGTGTCTAAGGCTGACATTGGCAAAGCCAGGAGCCCGCAGGCAGTTAGGTAAAGGATCCAATTTGTAAGCTGGGCGCTGTGAAAGCTCTTTTAATGACCATCATCTCAGCGGGACTTGCGCCAGGCCCCTCCAGGGCTGGCAGTTGGGCCTGTGCAGCTGGAAAGGCCAGAGGACTGGGGCTCCCTAGCAGAACAAGTTTCCCATCTCACAAATACTCTGGTGATTTTGAAATGTTTCCCCCTCTTGAACTGGGCTGGAAAATCGAAATCTTGGAAATCCTCCTGAGTGAAAAAAGCGAATTTCTTCCTGTCGGATCAGAGGAAACATTTCGTTTGGATTTCAACCTTTTTTTTATTTTTTTTGGTCATATTAGCGTAAATTTCAAACCAAAGGGTCGCTTTGAGACAGAAAACTGGCCTGGTGCGTTTTGAAAATGTCAGCCCCTGCTGGCCGTTTCAGGGCTGCTTTCCTCAAGGTTTCTTCCCGTTGGGAGATTCAATCCTGGCCCATGAGCCAGTTTTAGTTTTGACCAATCTGCATTTTTCGATGAAAAAAACGATTTGTGTAATTCCCAAGCAGCTCTCCTGAGCCACTGGGTGATGTTGAAACCCCTGCGCAAGGCCCCTGTGGATCCAGCAGGTTTCCTGCCACCCCCGTGCAGTGGGTTACACCCAGCACCTCTGGAAGCCAGACTGCTTCACCTATCGCTCCGTCTCCTCATTGGTTGCCTGCAGCATCTCTCCCTGTAGTGGCCCAGATTCTCAAAGATATTTAGGCTCCTAACTTCCACAGATTTCAATGTAGCTCCACAAAGGCAGCGTGGTCTAATGGACGCAGCACCAGACTCGAACACCTCAGGGGTCTAGTCCTAGCTCTGCCTCTGACCAGCTGTGCAACCTTGGGCAAATCACGGCCTCTCTGTGCCTCAGTTTCCCCTCTCATGCTTTGTCTATTCAAACTGCAAGCTCTTTGGGGCAGGGGCTGTTCTTCAGTGTGTGTGGGGGGCCCTGATCGCGGTTGGAGCCTCCAGGTGTTACTTAGTCATAGTGGGCTTCCTAAATCTGGATTTAGGCTCCTAAATTTGCTTATTCTGGCCTCTCGTCATCCCCTGGCAAGCGAGCAGCAAGAGGCAGGGGTTAAGAGCCAGGCGCCTGGTCACACACAGGTCGGGTCACAGATGTGATCATCAGGTTGCAGCAAAGGCTCTGACATTGCAGTAACTCTGGTCTGCTCCCGAGTCGCTGGGCAGCGCTGAGGGGGGTGGAAGGCAGGGGATGCGGGATTCTGGACTCCGTGACAGACCCAGCCAGCTGCCGGAGATCCTGAGTGGGAGCGGGTGCTGGAATCAGTGCGTGTCCGCCCTGCAGTCGCCTCCCAGTACTTTCCCCGTCCCCACAAGGGCAGAGCCCGCAGCTGTTAGTCACTTTCCAGGAAGGCCGCCTGAGCTGAAATCACCTGGTCGGGCAGGAACCACATTTTGCTGTG